CGTGTGGGTTCCAATCTAACACTTTTCTTGTTATGCAGCTGCTTGACTTCCTGAGAGTGTGTCCAATCCATCGCCAACGTCTTCTTCCCACCTCATCTCTGACCGGGCTCTGTCTGGTTCTTCTTAATACTTCCTCGTTGGTGATCTTGTCTGTCCATTTGATCCTCAGCAGCCCCCTCAGACACTTGTTCAAGAAAACCTGGATCCTCTTTATACACGTATGGGATGCGTTCCACGTCTCACATCCATACAACAAGACTGGCTTCACATTTGAGTTGAAAATTCTGAGCTTTGTTCGTAATGAGATATCCCTGGTCCTCCAAATCCTGCTCAAAGAAATAAATGCAGTCTGTGCCTTTCCAATGCGGGACTTTATTTCCGCACCTGTTCCCCCCTCTCTGTCAATTATACTCACAATATAGCAGAAGGATTCGACGTCTTCTAGTGCATTTCCTTGTACTGTGACCTGCTCCTTTAGCAGTGCATCTATCCTTAGGACTTTCGACTTTGCGGGGTGGATCTTCAATCCAACAGACTCTGATAGGCCGTTTAAAATTGTCGTCTTTGCTTGCATCTGTTCCTGAGTGTGTGACAGAAGCGCCAAGTCATCTGCAAAGTCCAGATCGTCCAACTGTGTCCATGGGGTCCACTCTATACCGTTTCTGTGTCCTCTGGTGGTTCCTTCACCAGCCAGTCAACTGCCCATATGAAGAGGAACGGTGATAATAAACATTCATGTCTCACACCAGTCTTGATGTCAAAGTTGTCAGTGAGCTGGCCATCATGTACAACCCTGCAACTTGTCTCTGCGTACATGCTCTTGATGAAGTTCACCAAAACTTCTGTGGGATTCCGTGGTGTCTCAGTATCTTCCATAGTGTTGCTCGGTCTATACTGTCAAAAGCCTTCTCATAGTCAAGGAAGTTGACGATCAGCTGGGAGTTCCACTCCAGAGACTGTTCCACAATAATCCTCAACGTGGCAATCTGGTCGGTGGTTGAGCGATTTTTCCGGAAACCAGCCTGTTCATCCCGTAGTCTTGGATCCGTTGCTGTCTTGATTCTCTCCAAAATGATTCTGTTGAAGACCTTACCTGGTATTGAGAGAAGAGTGATCCCTCTGCAGTTGCTGCAGTTGCTGAGATCCCCCGTTTTTGGAAGCTTCACGAGGTGTCCTTCTTTCCAATCCTTTGGGAACTTGCTCTCATTCCAAATCCTGGTAAACAGTGTGAGGAGGATGTCTGCCGTCACATTGGCATCTGCTTTTAGGGCTTCAGGTGGAATCTTGTCGAGACCGGCCGCTTTACCTTTGTTCAGCTTCTTAATGGCATCCAGAATCTCTTGTTTTGAAGGAGCATCACAGCAGATTGGTAACTCATTTCTTGCTGGCAGGATGTTTGGTGGGTTACTCGGTGGTGGTCTGTTCAGGAGACTGTTGAAATGCTCTACCCATCGTTTGGACTGAGCTTCCTTTCCAAAAATAGTTTTCCCCTCTTGATCCTTTACTGGTACTTCATGTTTCCCGTATTTTCCAGAAAGTGTCCTTGTGGTCTGGTAAAGGATTCGCATTTGCCCTCCTACCGCTGCTTCCTCTGCATTAAGTGCCGAAGATTACTGGTTTTACAAGAGAGTAACAAAGACCAAAAAAAAAAAAAAAAGAGAGTAGAGATAATGAGTAGAGATGTTTGATAGGGGAAAAGGAGCAAAACACACCAGCGCATCCGCCAACCACTCACAAAAAAGTCAAAACCAAAAAACATGCACCTGCTTGTTTGTTCAATTGTAGTAAAATGGCCACGTTTCAGCAGGACGTAATGAGAACGTAGTAACACCGTAAATTGAACAACATTAAATTTTGTTCTTGCTTCTGTAGAGAAGCAGAATTGGTCCTTTATCGTTACGCGTAGAAGTAGAAGTAGAAGTAGAAGACCGGAGTTCGATTTCCGTGTGGGGAGAATTTTTACCGAGTACAAGTAGCTCGGCCTTTCTACTGGAATTGCGTATCCCCCTCAACCTGGGCTGGCCTTGGCAGAAAAGAGCCGAAGCCTGCCTCCTTCATTATCTAAAATATATAGGTTTTTAAAAATCTATTTATCTATTTATTTTTTTTAATTAC